CAATGGATCGTCTGATTTTAATCCCGCTGATCATTCTTAACTAATAAAAGAGCTTTGATCGCCGTAAAACTTCAGTTATGAGTACCTCTCAGGTTTTATACCGCATTGAGAAATGAAAATGTTTGCTGTAAAGGTGACACTCACTTTGACTGAAGTAGGTCAATTTATCGTGTTCAGTCCTTTCGTGAACATATCCGTCTGGAACTGTGCTAATGATCAAATAATCATTCAGATGTAATTATCTGACGAATCAATACGGTTTCAACACCTTACCACTTTCTGACGAAGAGAAGGAATTTCCGATCGCTTATGGATTATTGATATTTAAAAACGCCATTCAGGTTACTCATTAGCAATCCTTACCCACTTTCTTCTCAACCTTCAGCTGCGATCAATGCAGTAAATCAGCACAAAGAAAATTGCGAGATTTCATTCCTAAAATCATCATTTCTAAAAGATTGCGAGATTTCGAGTCGATTCTTTAAGTGATGTTGATTGAAAGAATTAAGATTTACCATATGATGAGTGCGATTTATCATCCACAGAACGCATATTGCATAGCGATAAGTAATGGAAGCGATGCGGAGTTTAAACGATCAGTCAATTTCATCGGAGAATGCTTCCCGAACGTTCATGTCATGGTATGGTCATGATCACCTTCTATCTGTGTTCTTTTCGCATCACTCCGATTCTCAGCTCAACTGTTCTCATTTACTTTGACTATTTGCATAAAAACACCTTATAGTTCCACATAAGGTGAGAGGGTTTCGTCAGCCTAAACCAGAGGAGTCTTCAGGATTTGTTAGGCGGTGTCCTATCAATAACTAGAGTTTACTGCAGCATGGGGTTATTGGACGCAGAGAATGTTACGTTGATTTGTGCACTTTTCGGCTTTCGATACTGTCACGAGCCATTACAACGTTTTAGTTCATCATAGAGCTGGATCGGGGACAAAATCGGGCTCGACAGTACTTGAGACGGGAATCCCGGAGGGCAGCGGTGAAATAGGGGCCTCGGAAACCTCGTAAGTGCTCGGAGATACCAACCCTGTCGAAACTAAACCCTTTTTGAATATCTCTTAAATTGAGATATTCTTTTGTTTATTTCATTCATCAAACTTTGTCAAAGATTTTGGATCGACATGGAATCGAACTCACGCCCTCTGAACAGATCGGATCCTCAAGGCCCAGCGTTACACCAGAACACTATCGGCCCTTTTGCTCAGTCATTTCTATTTGACTTAAGTACTTATCTTTGAGTACTATCATCATTTTGTGCTAGCTTTTCGCGCTAGTCGCGACAAACCCAATTCTAAAATCATAATATGTTTTCTGATGCTGACATCATACCAAAACAATTTATACACTTATCCAAAACAATACTGTATCCAAGAGTGGTTACGATACTGTATCCAAGACCGTCCTTCATGTAACAATTACAATGCTAAGTTCATCTAGCATTGTAATTGTTAGCATTGTAACAATTACAATGCTAGATGCGATTTCGCAATTTCCCTTGTAAAAGATATCTGCAGCAATAAACATCAGTGTACCTTTCTGATCATCTAATGAAGAATACCCATGCATCATTAAGATTGTACGTGATGTTCGGTGGGGTGAATACGGTGTTCTGACGGGTGTTCTCGACTGCTTACGTTTCTTGGCAGCATCAAAAATAAAATGGAAATATTATCAGGTTAAATCGTTTATTGGATGATTTTGATGAATACTAACATATTCAAAATCGCACGTTTTTGCAGACAAGTTCAATGAATATTATTGCATTCAATATAACTTACAAACCAATTTTTCCAACTGAGTTCAGTACCGTTAACAAAAATAACATCACTACACATAAAGACACACTGGATAGAACTTAACTTGATGCCATCACATTACTAAGTTATTAAGTGTTGCAGTGGACTTGTTCGACGCGAACACTTTGACTGCTGTATTCAATTATTGTATTTTGATTATTGTATTCAATATTTTCACTATTGCAGTATAAATTTGAGAAGTTGAAGAAAACACATAAGTGCTGGGATATATGGAATGCGCTGAACATGATTATTAGATTAACGTATATAAAATCTGAGCAATTGGATGGTTCTAAAACAACACCCGTATAGCCGAGTGCTTCTCACTGGTGTGATGTGGGGACGGGAAGAATCGGGGACGAATTTTTGCAGTAAAAGACCCTGAAAATGTGCTCGGCTCGAAAAAAGTCAGGGACGGGGATTCGAGGACGGGATCCCGCACCAAACTAGTTTTTTCGCTGCTGCACTCGTTGTCACCCTTCGTACACTTGTTGAATTGGTGCATACCAGAAAGTAATCAGCACGATCAAATTAACGATTATTTTTGATGATTAAACACATCGTTTGCAATACTAACTTGATCTGTTATTCAACATGATAGAACCAACATGCCTGATTGTCCTTTTTGCACTCAATTCATTGTTTCAGTATCTTTCGGGCTTCGATCTTCCTCTAAAAACAAATGGCGAAATGGTGAGGATATTCAAGCGTTTGAATGGTTCATTCAACTCGGAAGTGACGCATTTTGAAAATTATCGTATTGCAAAGAAAAAGGTAAATAATGCGATTCAGCTGAAGCGAATACAGCAAAAATTTGACGACGAAAACAAAATTACTGAAATGCATCCCAATTTCCAAAGCCTATCAACTTGCCTGCATAAAGTTGACGTACTTTTCAATAGATATGATCGAAAGAATACCTAAAATAGTCTCGTGCTAGCATCAATGATATGAGTTGAATGGCTCAGATGGAACACATGTCAATTCAACTGCGATATCATGTTGGAACATCGGTCGATTCATTTTAGCTTTTAGTCGAAAGTTTAGTGAAATGGCAAACTGACATTGCCTTTTACACTGGCCTTTGACGGTTTTGTTCGAAAGAAAATTGAAATACCATGTGAATAATGCCTACTCGTACTATATTAGACTAAAAGCTGAAATGAATCGACAAGGATACCCAAATGGGATGTAATGATGATAATTCAGAGTGCAAAACCGCCACAAGGAGTTCGGTTATTCAAATCGAGTTTGTCAGCAACATTCAGTCGTGAATCGGCGAATTTTATGGTGAACAATAAGAAAGTGAAGGAGCTTATTGATTACCTTAATGGCACATTCATCCCAGATGAAACCTTTTGGACAACCGTTGCTGGTAATCCTGAAAGTGAGTGTTTTCAAATGGGTTTCATAGGAAGATGACTTTCGATAAATTCACATAGGTGATGTTCTTAAAATATGCATTAGTGAATAACATTCACGGATTAGCTATTGATATCGCTTTTGAGCTAACATGTTGGAGTTGTTTCAGAATATCCAATGCCCGGAGGATTTAATGGGACTCGTTTCTTGCGATTCGTTGAGGAACTTGAACGAAGACAGCAGAAGGAGTATTCAATGAAGTATACGACCGATTCCAGTCAATACTATATATCGCGTTACCAAGTGTGGTGGGGGGTACTAAATATGATTTGCGCCGGTGAGCGAACATAACTAATTTAAAGCAAATTTTTAGCTAACAAACGTCTCATTCGCCCCTTTTCTAGGGGGATACTTATTTCTGAAACAAACAATAGCACATATATGTGTGTAGAACATATCGTAGGAAAAGTGAAAAAGTATACCAAGTTTCCGAGATAACATCGAAGAATCAATCGTAAATAATTGCACTTACGTATGGCAGCAAAAATTTTTAATCAGTATTTTACAACACTCAAATCTCAAACATTTTCAAACGCAATATCCAATTCAATTGATAACGCAGTTCACGTGAGCTTATTGCCATTTAAATTTTTACTGAAATGCATCTTAAAAAGACTTGGCCAAACTAGACGTATTCAATTGAATATGGATGTACTCAATGCCATGGACTGTTACTCAGTCAATCTTTTATTCAGGTAAATTTGTCGCTGGTTCATGTGTATACGGAGTTGGTGACATTCCGATTCTACTCCGAAGATACGAACTTGTAGCGCATAAGTTCTATTTGGACTATCAACCAGCTGCTTATTTCTGTGTCTATCAAAAAGTTCGTCAACGAGCCGTATCGCAACATATCGACAGTTTCGATGATCGACCTTATGCGAATTTACCTGGACCTGCAATGGCACGTGGCGTGAATCTCGACGTATGGATGAGGCGCTATTTTAACCCGAAGCCAGTGACGCGAGCACCTTGACTTAAGAAGTCTTCAACTACCCTTCTTCGGAGATGAACACCTCAAGCGAATCTGCTCAAAGCTGTCCTGCATCGCAAAAGATTGTGATGGTTTATAAAATTCAACATTTCAGCATGAATCAGAGTGACATTCGATAATTGTGTGCACTCGCAGTTTGTTTAACATGAGCAGTTGTACGTTCACAGATTACACATCTATCTGCCTGTTTATATATTGGAAAAGCTAATGTGTTCGATGATCGAGATTTGCTTGTGAGTAAATTTTATTCGTAATTTACATCATTTGTAGACAATAATCGGATGAATCATAAAACAGATGAATATTTAGACAATGATACTATGCTTAATCATCAAATTTGAGTCAATCAATTTGTAATGTCGAGAATAAGTCACACCGTACAAAAGGAGGAAATCAACACAACGACATTATTCGATATCGAATTCACACAGTTACTCGAATATGATGCATGAAGTTAGAAATTGCGAAAATCATCCATAAATTGTTGTCAATACTACTCATTCTTAAGACATAGTTAATCTTCAACAATTTTCGAACGTGACACGTTCATACGGTTGCATACCACACATCGATTTGCATTTCTTCTCAGTCAGCTCAGACTACTCTAATTATTGTCCTTATTACTGCTGCTACAATCATACAATCGTATCACATCCGCACAAGTAGCAAAAAAAACAACAATACAAACGCAAAAAGTTATTAACATGAACATAATAGTAGTCTTCAATTTCACATAATACGAAATAACTATTTCATTATTCAAGCAATCTACTAATGACTTTTATTGAACAAACAAGCATAGAAATAAAACAAACTGAAACAACATAAAATCTACCCGATTTTTAATGTGCTCACAATTGAAATGAACCACAAATGAAAACATCCAAAATAATACACAACGGGCTTTCATGAACTCATACACTCTCTACAAAAGTAAGCCAATGATGAATGATGTTTTGATAGGGCATAATGAAACCCAATAATCATTTCACATCTGCCAACAATTTTTGTAGCCCAAAGTTTCAACGCTAAATCCTCCACCAATCATAATAATGAACAATGAATCGAGTGAATCACATTCAGAATTGCTCTGACTATCTTCTGTTTGCCTTGAGCCGACTCTCAATCCCATTTCACACAATACCAATGCAATTTCGCAAGTGCTACTACCAAATCGCTTGATTACGCACAACAGCGACACATCATCATTCATTTGCAGTCGTCACTCTGCTCACGTTTTCATTCATCATTTAAGAAAGTGCATCATACAAACGAAGTGCATCCGCACCTGTTCGTTTCAAAATCAAATAAGAATAAATAGGATACGTAAACATAAAGAACCAATCAAATTGACGCATTTGTATTTTGCATATGTTGCTGCTTGCTATTACTATTACTACTATCGATGGCAGTTGACGCGTCACGTGCTTGATAAAATAATATATACGCCGATTCACTGTTCTTTTGAACACCACATTCCGACAATCCGAAAAATTCTTCAATTGTTACCGGATCAATTTTCTGAAATGCTTCGCACAGGATTATTGTGGAAATTCATTCCAGTTTCTGTGATCTTGTGACCAGTTTTCAGACTATTCAAATTCAGTATTGACTGCTCTTCAACGAGCCAAATCTGATTCTTGAATTCTAACACTGGAAGAGTATGTATTTAAAGTATGCAATATTATTTACTTCTATTTTAAAAATCAATGAACTATTTCCCAAAACTAAGTGAAAATGAACCCCCCCCCCCCCCCCCCCCCNGCCCCAAAAAAAAACGAAACTAACATCAACAACGTCATCATCGAATAATAACCAAAAAGCATGCGACTTAACAACAGTTATATAATGGCCTCTATTCGGCGTTGACCCGCAATGTACAACCACTGCACACAAATCATACAGTCGATCACGATTCACTGCATCGTCACTCTGCAATAATGATCAATCTGAGTCTTATAGACATCCTCACAACTCTTAACAAACAAACTAATCGATTCCAATTCATCATATCGAATTGAATTAACACAAACAAAAACTTATTCTCAGCATTCTATGGAAGTCAGCTTTCATCCAGAAAAACACAAAAGCAAAACCGTCGACCCATTACGTAAAAACTAATATCGAGAGAGATGCGAGCAATGAGAACGAACCACATTGAAGAGACGTAATTCCAACGGGAACAGCACTCGATACGAAAGTTTCGTGTATCGACTCAACTGCTCGACGTATTTGAAACGTTTCAGATGTAATGCCAGCAATTGCGGTAATTTTTTAACTCGCATTCTTTTCTGTGCCTGCGATAAGCGCTGAGATAATTATTTTGGGCGAGTTTATTCATTTACAATCGATGTGCATGAAGTATCTTTACGACTGTACAAAAGCACACATAATGAAGAAGATTGGCAATCAGCTAATACTGTTATAGAACGTTACTAATTAAAATCAAAACGATCACACTTCTAACACATTATTTGTCAACACAAATTAATCACCTTTGCAATTAATATCAAAACAATTCTTACATCGATTGCTTTCACGACAATACCACTAACTTCAGCAATAAAATCATCAAAAGTATTTGATGCTTTCAAGCGATTCGCAGTTGTGGACGAACGATTAGAAAAAATAACGAAGACCATTCAATCACCGTTCCAGATTTACGTTCATATTTTCAGAGAATTTATCGTAAATAAATAAAACAAAAAACAACCAAACACACCTCTTGTTTTGAACAACAGTTTTCACAGTAATATTTCTGATCAGCTTGCAACGTCTCCATATTCGAAAACACTCTCAAACAATGCGTTATCGATGCATTTTGCTCAACATCCACACTTAAATCCAAGAAATCTTCATCTTTACTCGACACCTGTAAAATTGCGCAATCAAATATCACTGTTGATGAATAAATAAACGGCACTTTCCATGCATGTATGTGCATCGATCGTCAATTCATCGTAAACACAAAAAACTGATCAATTAAAAACCGAATGCTACGCAACCTCCCCTAATCCGACATCACTGAACATCAACACGAAACCAAACAAAATATTATAAAAAAGCGTGCAAATAAAACAAACCGTTTCACAATTCAAGCATCGTGTTTCGTTGGTCAATGTACCTTGAAATATCTCGTGAATCCACGTTGTTTCACATTTCGAACCACTGTAAATCAACGTTAACACAGCTATCCAATAATGGGTCCATAATGAGAATAATAATTGTATTGATAAGATAAGAGTGATAAAAATAGCATACACGCGAACAATAAGGCATATAACCATCATATGAATCAAACAAGAGAAGAACAGTTACGACGATAACAATAATAAGACATAATACCTCGGCTGGTATTGCGTTCGAGAATCGTGTGTGCTCGACGGTGTGATCGATGAGCCTTTTTTGGTGATTCCGTTCGTTTTCGACGATTTTTCATTTCGCTTCTCTTCTGACAACGTTTCCGATATTGTATTCAGAAGGTAATTCAAAAACTCATGCGCGTCTTGTTGCATATAATTATCGAAAATCTCTGAAAATTCATACACGTCGTCTGTGGATGCTATCCATAATGAAAATCATTCACGAACTCACTGTTTGACAATCCTACCAATGGTGTATATGTAATCAGTCGAATGCTATCGCTTGAGCCCAAATAACAAGATGGAATACTAGAAGAGAAAACGGAGAAATGTTTCCGATACTATCGATAAACGTGGTAAAAAACCGTTCTCATTATTACAAGGAAGAGCCAAATGCTTCAGAAAAACAACAAAAAAAACCATTTTCTTTCTTCAACTTCGTAATGAAGCGTTTCGGTGCAATCGTGCCCACACGTCGCTTCTGAGTGGCAATATTGTGGAATAAATCTGCCAAACACGTTAATAAATTCTCTTTTTGATTACCTGAAAGGATAATATGGTCAGTGATACGAATCAAAACGAAACACCACACACACATCCACACACATAATCGTGGTGGATATCACTCTGAAACAGTGGGTGACTCGCAATTCTGGTAGATACGGAAGCAGTTTCAGAACATCGAAATTGAACTGTGCAATTTTCTGAAGCAAATTTTGGATTATTCATCAGGAATGAATGTTAGCAGAGAATAAATTAACTAATGAACGATAAAAAGTGATGAAACGAATACAATTCCACAGACAAGAAACTGAAATTGATTTTGAGAAATGATCAATGACCTGATTTCTTCAATTGCTGTTTGTACTGAAGAATTTTCTCGCGAAACGGCTGACAGAAATACAACGCTTGAATAACCGAATTGCAATAGCATGTATTGCCGAACTGAAATTTAGTTATTACTGTGTCGATTTTCATCGAAATAACACGATTACTATTGAACAGTGACATCATCAATTATTCATGAAGAGTTATTGTTTTAAATTGAACTCTGCTACTGCAGTGAGCGGTCTTAAGACTATAATGTTACGACAACAACTGAAAAATATGATATTCCTTGAAGAAGAAAAAACGAATAAAGGAAACTAAGTAGGTGGCACTTACATTGACGAGCCCATAGAAATGTTCATTACTCAAAATATGATCCGAGTTGATTTCCTTCTCTAATTGTGACGACGCGTTCGCACCCTTAAAATGAAATCCATTTAAATTTTATCGAAAAAATTTTATTCTGAAAATTTTTCAATGAAGATAAATGGAATCAGTGGAATTCTTACTGAACAATCTGAAGTCTAAAAAAGACACAAGAATAAAGTGAAATATGGAAAGTGAAATACGGAAACAACTCGAATAAAACTTTGCATAATATCCAAAAAATAATGATTCCAAAACATCAACTGACTGATCAAATGAACTAAAGAAATAAATAAAGAAAGAACGCACCATGGTGGTTGCGCCGCACTTCGATATACAGCTATATGGCAGTTCGACGGATTTTCAATGAAACCAAAACAACTGAATATGATAAAAAAGAAACTGTTGAAATGCTTGTGCCAGCCTATTAATCCATTTAAAAGATAATATTTTATCTGAAAAAGACTTATTCAACGAATCCTTTCCAACAAAACAGCAAAACGCTGATAAAACTCATCTCAACTGCATAACTTTATCTGCTACGGAATATGGTGAGGAAATATCAAACATGACGCTGATATACAATCTTGAAAAACGCTTTCTTTCCTTTAATCTAGCAATCAGTATTCAATCGGAAATTGCGAATAGCTCGAAAACGACTGAATTACCCAATGATGATGATAATGCTGAAGTACTGTGAAATTATCAACGAAAAAATAATTCCACAAATAAATTTAATTATGAACATTTCACATCAACACATCATCATTGAACTGGAATAGTTTGGTGGTTGTTAAACAAACACCCGTTAAAATTCACTAACGCACACAAATCCACTAAAAACTTAATGAACAGTGGTGACAAAACGAGAGGAGAGTCCGAATCAAGAGGAAATCTTGTAATCATTTCAGATTCCGATGAAGTAAAAGAACGAAGACAAAGAGAACGTTAAAACCGAATAAAGCGATAAAGAAATTTTAAAAAGAGACAAACAAAGAATATTCGTTAACGAGAAATTCAATCAAACAATCTGAAATTCATTTCTTTGTTGCTTCGAATCGACTTCAAGGAAATAAAAGACAAAGTTTTCGCATCTGACAACTGAAATACCGTCATAGTAGTGAATAATAACAATTCGAAATTTATATAGAATTGTTTGCTGCTCGATTGTGATAACGTTTACATTTGTCATTGACTGCGAATGCACAAACATCAAGTGTCTCGCAACAGCATTTAACAACTCAATTTCACACACACTTCATCCAATCAACACTAAAATCGCAATTCATCGACATAAAGGGAAACGAACACTGCTTTTTACCCACCATATAATTTGACTGATAATCTCAAACTCGAGCACTGAATAATAGTTAAAAGTTTGCCTCACTTCAGGCCTTTTCATTGGGTTTCATTTCATCACCGGTCGAATGAACCCTTTGAAAGAACTGTTTAAGTTACCCCGTTCCAATAGGAATAGCCCCAAAATGGGAAGTTAATCTGTTCCGAAGTATCTCATCACTTTGACTGGAAGCAATTTATAATGACTGATTTTTCAACAATTCATGCCTAAGCAATTGTCGGATCACTTGAATAATTTCACTGAGTTATGTCCACTTATACTTCAATGTCATATTATTTCACGCTTAATGTGAGTCGAGATAAACTTTTAACGACAACGATACACTTTTAAATTGATATTTATTCAACGTTTAAGAATTCAGCAAATAAACATGAATACAATTAATTTCAAACTGACAAAATCACAATGCGCCAAAAAGACAAATCAATGAATACAAATGCAAATACAATAATATATGAACAATGATAACAATTTAAAAATTAATAAGAACTTATTCATCCGATAATACTTTTCACAGATTACGAATTCAGTCAATTCATTCCAGTTGTAACACACTTCAATACAAACATTTTTAAATTCACTGAAGTCAACAAAATCACGAATTCAAATTAGTACAAAATCGATAACACGGATGATATCAACAACATGAGAGTAATAAAATAGAGTTCTCAATGGTGATGGTAGTCCAATCATATATGCATTCGATGGAAGTCCAACCAAGACAACTTTTTACGATTCTGAACTTCGGTAATCCAACCGAGATTCAATATTATTTGTTACGATCATTAGTTCATATTAATTAAATGATGTACCATTTATATTATTAATTAATTATACATCGAAGACCATCACTGGACTAACGTAAGAGATCAGTGCGTGAAAATAATTCAATTAACACAGCCAAAGTAAACTGATGATGAGCAAAATCTCAAATGGTCATTGTTGAAAAGTGACTATAATGCATAACACCAGACCAAAAAAAATTAACGGCCAACGGCGTCATGCGAAAACGGCTGTTGCAAAGAAATGCTCATTGGATCGGTGAAATGCTGATGATTGCTGAGCGTGCCTGCAGTGGAATGAACCAAGTTCGTTGTTATATGATAGTCCGCGTTATTTTCATAGAGTACACTGGTCAAAGTTGGTTCGTTTTGACCCAATGCGCCAGTGCTGCCATCGTAACTTTGATCGCTATCATATTTCTTGATGCTCGCTGCACTACTTCGTTTCTTCTGCAAAAAAGAAAAACAAAGTGACTTTCATAACAATCGATGCTCAAATAACTTTGCTAATTGAGGGATCAAAAAAAAAAAACAAAGCAAAACTCACTGGACTATTTGATTTTGAAGTAAGTCCATCTTCCATTATTTGTAACAATCTTCCCGTTTCTTTGAAAATATACGCCAACGCCAAATTGTGTGCACATACGGGTCGTTTTTCAGCACAAGAACATATCACTTTTCCATTATTCTGACGTTCCACTCGGATACTGCAACAGAGCGCTTCGCTTTATTAGCAACGCATCACCACCGTGAGCACAGCGTTCCATACTCAACACAATCAGTCTACACTCAAATGATTTCACGCTTATGAAAACGAGAGCAGGGCCCAAAGTCTCACCAACGACTTCTGGAACCTTTGTCGATGACGAACACGCGATCACTGATCTGCTTGAGACAACCCTGTCGAGTGATCAGTTCAGCGTTATCAACGATTCGGATGCGCTCTGCATTCGTGTAAAGTGCACTCAAATTCGTCGGGAAATGGTATCTGGATCCGGCAGGACCGTTGTCCACTTCAGGGCTAACGTTAACAGCGTCTAATGGCACGTGTATACCGATACTCTGAAAACAGCGCCATTCAACATTCAGCTATCCGTTGCCATATAAAAAAGAGAGGATTACGCAAACGGATTGTATAAAACTGTCAATCATTCCACTGAATTTCTGTAGTCACCAACTTTCAACTGCTGCACTTTTTCAGGGTTTGTCAGTGCTGCCCAATGGTCGGCCGATATCCACTTCTCTTTGAATTCATCCTTCAACTGGAACTCTCCATATGTTCCTCCCAAACAACATCTCGCTAGTTCAGCATACCTTTCTGAAAGCATTTATTATCTCCCCAGAAATGTTGTCATAAACTGATTAGAATAAGTGAAGTGCTCGATGATGCACAACAGAAACATCAAATTCGATATGGGCACTTGACTTACGTTCACAAATGATTTCCAGTTCAGAGAACATCTCGTTCAGTCCTCTTCTGCTGTTTGAAGCCAAGAAATCCAACAACCAACTATTGAAATTCTCGACGGTATTCGACGTAACACGTCCATATCCTATTCCGGCTTGGAAGCGTTGCGGTAGCAGATAACCTGAATTGCTACACAATAAACGATTCAAATTTTATATAACTCTTCTTCCACTTCTAATTTATTCTCACAACATTTACGCATTCAAAGTAAGAGTAAGTAAAAAATATATCCGCAAAGAAAACGAGCAACTGACTTTGTAATATCTGCTTTCCTTGTGTGGCCAGAAAATTATTCGTAAATTGAGGCGCAACCTCATCCCATTGCTCTTGATGCGAACGAATTCCTCGCATGAAATGCTCTTCACTTACGCAATCCACCAAACCTAAACAAATATAGTACATTTGTCAAACGCAATGAGCATTACTAACAAAAACAATGAACAATCAAATTCTTCGGAGTTGTTACCTTCTGAACCGTATATCGTTTCCAAGATAGTCATCTTTTGGTGGGGTGTAAGACCGTTCAGAAGTGTTTCGGTGTTCCTTCGTAGATGAAGCTCGCATAATAAGTGACTTGTTGGACGTCGAAATATCGTTGCTACCCGCAATCCCTTAGTTGCGTCGTCGACATCCGTGACAAGGCATCGAACACGTTCATTTTCTTTGATATGCAGTAATCGGCTCAAACATATGCCGATATACATAAAATCGTCAACATTTCTGCAGCGAGTGAAGGCAATCGCTGCAACGCACACTGCTCCGTGCGGAGATTCGAACGTTTTCGGGGTGATGAATCGATGACGGAACGCTATAATGGTAGCATAGAGATCAGCCACTCGATGTGTCGTAGTGATGAACGCCGGTGAGTAGTGTGACAGTGAAGAGGCGATGAGTTGGGGATCGGTGAAGAACTGTTGCCTTCCTTCATCCGACAAATCACTCGGTGCAGTTGACATATCCAAACGTTCTCTTATTTTCTGCTCACTGCACACACAACTCAAACGAAACGACTCCAGCATTGACTTATTGGCACAAAAAAACCTTTCATTATTACCATCGAATTCGGCGTATCTGACAAAATCCGATTTACTCTGTAAAAACAACACAATCAACATCGAACCTCAACAAAACGCCATTCATCCACTAATCTCTCAAGAAAAGAGATGTTCCAAAGTTTTTTTTTCAAATATTTCAAAAAATTTTTTCCAAAAGAATCTTTCGTTTTTCTCTCGTCCACAAAAAATAATGACTCACGCGAATTATATTGAACACATCATCCATACTTTGAATTTTCGATTTTCGTCGACCCAGACAATAGAGCTGATTGAGATTCCTTACCAAAGCCTGTTCGCTGTCACCTGCGAGTAATCCTCTTTCGATGGCTAACTTTTCTTTGACACACGATGGTTTCATGAATGTCAACTCATTGGCCATGCGCTCAAGTGCTGATGGCAGCGTTCGCAGATACGGTTTACTCGTATCTTGTTTGGCGTTTCCATGAGGATTCATAATAACTGTACACGTACAGTCAACTCGATACGACAATAGAGCAAATCCTGGAAGAACAAAATTTGATTAATTTTAAACTTTGTTGATCACAAATCGGATTTTCTGACAGATATAATAACTCACCATTCACAGGCATATTCAGAGAATCATGAATTATCCAGAGACACTTTCGCAGCGAGAAAGGTGGATTTGTATCGGGATGTCGCCCATATTTCTTCGAAACAACATAATTGTGATTTCGTTTCCCCACCGCCTTACCGTCCTCGTCCACATAAAATCGTTTCAATTTCGTTCTAATCGTTTTGCTGTTCCACCTTCCTGAACGCATGAGCACAAGTTTGAATCTACGCTTCCGACGCCATACTGGCTTCACAGTAGCCCAAAGTAGCAAACACAATGAGAGAAAGAAAGCAAGTAGAGATATGGAAGTTTAGCTCATTTCAATACCTTTTTATTATCGCTTCGCATCTTACGAGAAAAGTAACGCGAGAAAGTGTTCAATGCCCCTGTGTTTCAACGGTTTCTGAACTTCAACTTACCGAACGCATCCACGTAACAGTCCTTCTCATTGATGAATTGAGTATCCAACAAAAACGAATATGCTCCTGCACTATCCGTGCTAACTTTTGGCATTGATACGCATCCTTCCACACTCCTAAAATGGCCCATTACCACAGCGGTTGTACATAAAAAGCTATCTCAATCCATCCATCAAAAGAGAAAAGAAGTCATTAGCTGTTTCTCACCTCTCCTTTCCTCTTAGCATAATATCAAACGGTATCTCCAATATGTTACCATAAAATTTATTATCGTAAACTACCCCTCTGAAGTCATCGGTATTGTGCACCACATCGATTCTGCAATAAACGTCATGCTTGGAACGATATTTAAAGAAAAAAACTCATATTAAGCTTGTGCCAAGGACTTTAAAGGAATGGATAAATTCAATTTTGCCTCGACGGTATCTGCCTTAAAGTAATAGGTGCGACTTGGAAATCGTGAATGCTGTCAATCGTTCGCGTCTCTGAATTTGGAAGGTACTGCGAATTACGTCTGTTATATACGTAGTAAGTTAGAATGCTTTTCATAATAATCAGATTAACTTTTAAGAGTGTTGATTAGGATGTCTAGAATATCATAAAACGAACGGTAGCAGGGGATCATTCAAGGAGGGCATTGATTTATTTTGCCTATTCCACTACTGCCTTTCTGATAATACAATAGAAACTGAGGAAACAGATGAAGAATCAGGGAAAATGATTGAAGAAATTTCCAAAACAAATACACTTACAGTTTATTATCGTTGGTCATCGATTCCATATTATTAATTAATTCCTTTTCCAGTTACTACCATTTATTACTTCGTCTTCAAACAATCAACGTGGATATGTATACGGCTGTCACGTTCAAATTGATAATCTAAAAATATATACGTGAAACATTTCAACTTTTAACTTCTGTGTAAAATCGGTAATTCTATCGAAAATTTACAACGAATATTTCGCATGAAAAATCGCACAATAATGTAATGAATATGAGAAGTTTAAAAATAAACGCAAAAATTACGTTTAAAGGTCTCGTCCACGTTTTATTATACTCATTTTGAAAGCATAATTCGAACTCACAATCAGTTTAATTGAGAGTTTTTCGGTACTTGTGCTTCAATGTATGAAGCAGAAATAGAATTGCTCCTATAATCGGTCATTATGCCACCGCTAGTGAAAGATGCAGGGAACTAGGGCGCTCTTTTAGTTCAATGCTATCGAGGCTGACTGCACTCGTACGGAACAAAAATGTGTGCAGTTTGTCGACAAAAGTTTGCCGACGTGATATCATTGCGAGTATCTATGTGCAAAACTGCCATCTTACAATGCAAAATGAAGAGTAACGAAAAGAATCGGTAATTTCACAGAAATAACTAACATCTGCAACTGAATGTTCAGTACTGCTACAACGTGTTAGCATCCGTCAGTAACGTCTACAAGCTCAATAGGTTCGCAAAATGATTTCATTTCACGAGGTTTCAAAATTAATTATGAGTTCATGGCAATGCGAACTGACAAAAGTATTGTGCGGAGCGAAGTCAGATGCTATCAAAAGTTGCTAAAAAAATTCAGCAGGGTCAGAGGAACAACTATAAGTTCATTAGGACCGAATCTGAAGGTGTATTGTGCAGAGTAATTATGGTTGCTCAAAAAAATTCCACCAGGTTAAATAATTACTCATTAATTCATGTTAATGAAATGTGTTTGTAGTGTTGGGTGCTGCTGAATAGGTTGATGAAGTAAGTTCACGGGGTTAAACGGATAAATATGAGTGAGTTCATTTGAAGAGGAATTGATACAGTTCTAAGTGTGAAATAATCTGGTAAAATAATTCTACGGGTTTGGCAATTAGTTCCGGGTTCTTACAGTCGGATTTGAATTCAGACATGAATCAAAACGATAGCTATGTAATTTTGCGATTAAGCAGTACTTAAATAAAATTGTTCAAGCACTGATGAGGATGCCTATAGCTTTCCCGATTATTGTGACACCTCAAGAATCTACAAAAGCAAGCTAACGACGTACGTAAAACACTATATTATACTATCTATTGTGACAAGGACATATCTCATACGAATGTAACAAAGTCACAATTTTCCTCTCACAATGAGCAATTTGGCATAGTTGAGGAGATAGAGGCATTTTGTTAATAATATCTCGGGTGCCACATTCAAGGCTACCGTAAGCTCAAGTTTGCCCAGTAACATGTGAATTTTTCTGCATCAGTCCATCCAGCTGGATCTCCTCATTCAGAAAAATATTTATGTTGTTGAGCGATTTTGCTTTCCTGAGGAAATATAGCCATTTTCTTAGACCAATCTCAATTAGATGGCGCAGTCGCGCTTATTCACACAAATTGATCACTATAGAGCAGTCAATACGTTCATATGACAATAGACGGATTGCGATCTTCGAGTTAACCGTCTTCTCAGGTTTGCCCGGAAACGTGTGAATTTCTTTTCACTGTTCGAACCAGCAGAACCTCTAGATTCAGAATATTATAAATTTTTCCGAGCAATATGGCTTAGTTGAGGAGATAGAGGCATTTTGTTAATAATATCTCGGTTGCCACCTTCAAGGCTACCGTAAGCTCAAGTTTGCCCAGTAACATATGAATTTTTCTGCATCAGTCCATCCAACTGGACCTCTTCATTCAGAAAAATATATATGTTGTCGAGCGATTTTGCTTTCCTCAGCAGATACAGCCATTTTCCTAGACCTATCTCAACTAGATAGCGCAATCGCGCTCATTCACACAAATTGACCACTATAGAGCAATTAATACGTTCATATGGCAAAAGGCGGATGGCGATCTTCGAGCTAACTGTCTTCTCAGGTTTGCCCGGAAACATGTGAATTTC